AGAGTGATTTAGTAACTGTTGTCAAGTGTCAGAACTGACTCATAGGCTTCATTGGATTTTTTAGTGTGTAAATCACACAGAGACTGCCCATCACTCTCCTACACAGCAGCTGGTGGATTTGAACTCTGGGCCTTTGGGTTTATTAGCACAACTCCTTACCTCTAGGCCTCAGAGCTCATGTAGCTAACTAGCCTTGCCTATTACACACATGTGAATTAATGATTTTTCTGAGCTGTATTTTCCTTTCAGATCTGGGGTCAAATGATTATCAAAGAGAATTTATCCTCTGAGATAAATCTGCACAAAAAGGCTGTGCTTATTGCTATGGTGTTATGGGTTCTATTCGCTGTACCAAGCATGTCATTGAGGGATGACAATTATGCTTTTAAGACAGGTGGGAAATTGATACAGGGTAGCAGTTAAACATGATGCTTGAGGATTAATTATATAATGGAATGGCTGATGAAATTTTGCTTGAATCCAATGCTCTCATAAAGATTTTATTTCCTTGGCTCTAGGGATCACCAAATGCATGGAAATCATGCTACCCTCAAGATTGACAATGACTGCAATACATGAACTTGGAAGTGCCCAAAGTGGCAGGACAGAACTGTGTTCACAGAAGGCCCACCTCTGCACACATCATCCACATATTGTGTTGAAAAGGGCCCATTTTGTGCATTTCCTTCTTGTGGTAACACGTATTTTTAAAAAACATTTTATTGTGCTTAACACTCATAATACAATTGGTTGCTTGATTTAAAAAAAAATAATCTGGAGGGACTTGAAAAGACTCTTTTTGCATCGAGTGCAAATCCTCAAAGGTTGTCTTGGACCATCCATCAGCAGGAACAACCGTGATCGCCGTAACTGAGTCTCACTCCATTCTTTTAAGGTAGGTAAAGAATGCATGTGATGGAGTTTTACAAATAGCTTTGATTTCTGGTTGAGCTAGGGGGCATTTTAGATTCTAATGTTTACAAAGGAGATACTAGGGAAATGCCTAGTGTGTCCATAATTATAATGCCAGTGACAAGAAAACACAAGAGATAGTAAAATGGGTGGGCTGTATGCACTATTAAACAGAGTATCTTTTAAAATGTTGGTTCAAGAGCTTCCATCCAACCACTAAATGAATAACCACAAATTGTGAAGGGAATCTAAATGTCATAAGAAACTATAGGATGAAGACACATACCCATATTTTATCACTAATGGACTAGCCGTTTTATTCAGTATGACTCTGGAATAGGTCTAAGCCTACATACTTGTCTGACTTGTGTTCCTGAGACTACTTTTACCTCAACTTTCAAAGTACATTATTTTGTTTCCCTATTTCACAACATGGATTAGTGTTAATTATACTTACAAAGTAGCATCAGCCACACTGTCAATTTTGTAATTAAAATAGATTTTCTTCCCATTTTAATGGACTAAGCGAATATTTTCATTTGGGTTTGGCAATAAATGAAAACAATACAAACGTAGACTACGCCATACTGTGCTAAAAGCAGCCTTCAGAAAATCTTTGCCCATCATCCATGCGACACTGCTGCTTCCTACGGGTGCTGAGTATTTCATATTTATTCTCACCAACTGTATGAAACAGATGCTTACAAGATGAGGAAGCTGAGGCCTAACACGCTTTGCGCCCGGTTACAGGTAGGAGTGACGAAGCTCTGGATTTGACAGGGTTTTAGTGCTAGGATTTTGTCCCTTATGTTAAGGTTTCTCAGGCTTCCAGGCACATACAAATGACCCAGGGATCTCGCTGAATGCACATTCAGGTGCAGCAGGTAGGTAGGGGCTATGAGTCTAGATTTTTAAGAAACTCCTCAGTGATGCTGACCCAGCTGGTCTCTAGAGTACTTTTTATGAAGGGAGGTTCCTGGTGGCACAGTGATTGAGGATAAGGCGGCGAGCTAAAAGGTCAGGGGCTGACACCACCGGGTGCTCCCCAGGCTCACAGCCGCGAGGTGTTCCACGGGAGAAGGCTGTGTCAGTGGGCTTCTGCCAAGGCACACGACTGTGGAAAGCCAGTGGGGCAGTGCTACTCTGTCCTGTGGGGTCTCGAGGAGCCACAACTGGGGCACTGCAAAGTGGTGGGACGCTATTTTCTGACAAGTCAAACGCCAATCTACTTCTTTTCAATAGAAAGATATGATATTTTGAGTTGAGGACAGGAACCCTTAATTGATTATTTCACTCTGATACATTTGAGACAACATGGAGACAAGACAGAAATCCAGAAGCAATAGTGGTTATGGAATGCATACATTTCCATGTATTTTTACAGTAAAAATGCATTAAAAAATCTTTCACAAAAGAAACTTAAAAAATACAGGTAAGGGTGTTGAGTTCTCCCCCCACCTCCCACATTCTTTCAGGCATCAACTGTGTAATAGGGAAAGAGAGGTTCCTAAATGATCTGATTTAATCACACAAAATACTCATCCATCAGCTCTCATCAAGACATTTACATGAGGTGGGGGTAGGGAAAGTAGGCTCATAAGAATCAGTCTCCAATTTAAGGTTACAGTAGTTCAGAGAAAACGCTATCTTTCTGCTTAATGGATAGTCCCCGTACAGTACAGTATTTTCAAAGCAAATCTGAAGTGTGGCATTCAAGAGAAATTGCCAACACCAAGAGTCTTCACAGGTTGAGACAAGCCCAGGTGGTTAGCACACAGATTTAAAAGCGTCAAATACCATCTCTCCCAACAAGTAAGATAGTGAGATGTCAGCTTCCCATAATCCAAAATTCTCCTTGATGTCATTTCTTTAAAAATATGGACCACGATTGAGAATACCAGTCATTTAACATCACAAATTTCATTAGGAATAGAAAAATCCTAGCACTGGAGTTTAGGGAATAAAATCTCCAAGGTGGCTCTTAGGAAATTAATGGAAAAGAACATCATTAGTCAGTTGCATCTTCCTCAACCTGACTACTACAGCTCAATGTATATTTTGTATGGAAACTTTATTCAATGTTAAAAGCAGTATTCACAGACCTTCTTTCCTTCTTTGTAGTTATGCAACATACATTGTGTCTCTTCCAGGAAAGGTATATGTTTTTTTTTGTGAATATCTGTACAACTACAGCTTCTCACTCTAAAGTCATGGAAAAACTCATAAGTCAAATAAAGCTATGAACAATGTGGTATTTATATACGCATAGTGTTTCACACAATGATTGGCCCACTTACTGCTTTTCATCAACACAGGAAGAGCATTAAGTCCATAGGACACTGCAAGAAATAATGAGTGAAGAACAGAAATGTACCCGAGTGCTTACTGACTGACAAGCAAGCTCACCATGGAGGAAATGATTTCCTATGGTCTTCGATTTTAAAACAGATTTACATACCTGATTTAGTTTACATTAAAATATAACCCTATGATTAATTTTGTTCCATATTCAGAAATATAAACACATATCACATTTCTCACAGCTAAATTTTTTTGTCATAAATTCTCTTTTATACAAGAAATAAAGGCAACATTTGTCTTTTTCTTCAATAGGCTCTATTAATTACAATTCCTAATTCTGTACATAAAAAGATTGGCTGGGTTTTTGTCTTTTTTTTTTTTTACAGTACCATGGGAACAACAGTGATTGACTTGAAAAGCTTTGTGTTTGTATGGAAAATGCAAAATGATACTATGGAAATCACAATGCGCGGTAAGCAGCAGTTTGCTGTAGTGGTCCAACTGGTACATGCAAACGTTTGGCTCAGCTAGGCAGTAATTCACTGAAACCTCATCCTGGGGCTACAGCAGACCCTACCATACCTCCTGCAGGATCACTAAAGGACAGATCGTTGACTAAAAAGATAAGTCTCCAGGTTTTGCTCCTCTGTCTAAAGCCACCAAGGACAGGGCCATGAGGGCAGGGCTTTCCCAGATCTAGAATCAACAGGATCACTACCTACCTTCCCACCAATTATCCTGGAGACTTTTCTTGGGATTTTCACGTGAATTCAGCATTTCTAAGAATTAGCACCTCCAGTTCTTACTTTTTTAATTATCAACAGAGAGGTTCCTTCCACCAAGGCTCATTCTCATATTCCCTATTCGTTAAACCATCACCACTAGCTTGTGGTAAACAGGAATTTTACAACTCCTCTGCATTGGGCACATTGTCCCACATGAAATTAGACAACATAGAAGGTGGGGTTTTGGTCCATTCATTCTAGTAGTTGAACAAAGCTACGATGGCGCTACCATGAGGTCTTATTTGATGTCAGTGATGCTACGGAGTCAGACCTTCTGTGCTGGGGCTGAGCTTATGTAGTGGTGGCCAACCTTCTTGCCTCTGGGCCTATCTAGAGCCAAGGAGAATACAAACTATTTTCTGAACCATTAGTAAGTTGAGAACATAAAATATCTTTGTGCTGTGTAGTTTTTTTTATAAATATCCTTCATTTGCAACAGTAGTCTCTTCAAAATAGTTGGCTTAATTTTATAATCGTCAGCAATCCTAATCCATTCCAAAGAGTCCTCAGCTTTTGCCAATATAACTTTTGATTTTTGTTCTTTTAAGAAATATTCCTAACTATAGTATAAGCATGAAATCACTACATAAAAGTCTCTATTGATTTAATTAAACTTCATCAATAATTCCCCTTACTTAGAGAAAATTACTAACAGCCCCATTTAACCAGGAGAGAGAAAGATTGCCCAAAAAAAGGGGGAACAATTCTTGACAATTCTACAGTTCACGTAGAAACGAAATTTATATCCCTTTGAGGCTAGCATTTGGCAAATAATGTCAAAAAAAAGTGTGCATTTAAAAATACTTTCTTTAATATTATACATCAGGCACAACACTTTCATATATATAATTTTTTTTTCTTATAAGATTTCAAATGCATAAAATGTTTGTTGCTATTCATAGGATCCTCGGGTGTCAGATGCTTTGCAGGTAAGACAGGAAGTTGAGGTTAGTGACCTTCCTCTAAGAACCTTTGACACAGTAAAGGTTGGAAGCGCCTGGCTCAGATACTGAGGTCGGTGCTACACTCTTTGTATGGTCGTCGCCTCTGCTCGGAGGGATGCTTGGAGCTTCTGGCCGCCTCAGGTTTCAGAGTGGTCTCTTCTCTCTCACGGTGGCCTCTGTCCTCCCTGCTTCTTTTCTCAAGTGACCGCTCTCTCCTCCTCTCAGGGGACTTGGCTCGCCGGCGGTCGGTGGACTTCGCTCTCCTTTCTGGAGAGCCCACCTTCCTCTGCTCTGGGGACCTTCTCTGATCCAGGAGCCTCTCGAGGGACCTCCTCCGACGGCTGGGAGACCCGTCTCTTCTGCGGGTGGGTGACCTCTCCCGCCTCCTCTCAGGAGACACCTCTCTCCTTCTCTCATGCTTCTCTCTCCTCTCCAAAGTATTGTCAGCACTGCGGGTGCCTTCCCTCCACTTTTCCGGAGCCCTCCGCTGGGGTCCATTGGCCACCAGCCGCTCAGGTGGGGTTTCTCTTCGTCCCTCGGGGGCCTGGTCCTTGGGCCTGCACGCCCCGGGGTCGGGTTTTTTAGAAGTTCCATTCCACGTGTGGTGTTCGTTGGGCTGTCTGCTATGGTCTCTGGTGCCTTTTGGGTCTTTGACATGTGCCCGCTTTTCCCCATGTTGTAATGATTTGTGAAGATCGGGTGGATAACTGGACTCCAATGATGGATGCTGTCGGCGATCTGATGGGCCGGCTCTCATTTCCGGAACACCTTGTGGACTGGTGGGGGGGCCGTGCCGGTCGCTGCTGGGGTCTGCCAGGAAAAGAAACGAGAAGCCATGGTTTGGTATAAAGGCTGTTCAGCTCCTGCCACCAATCCCACATGTCACATCCCATTAGTCACAACAAGCAAACAGCTGTTAAAGCAGTCAGACCAAAGCCAACTGAATCTTAGTTAATTTAAGAACAGCAACTAGTTAAGGCTATAAACTAGTACTTATGGCTTTCTGTTGCTAGCCTATTCTCTCTACTTAACTCAGTCATAACTTTAGTCTTTAAGGACACAAGCCAAATCATCTATCTAGAAGTATCCAAATAACTACACCTTAACTTTGACCCTCTTCCCCTACCACCCGCCTTCTCCACTCTGAACAAAGAAAATATACTTCTCATTAAAGAACACTTGTTTGGATATGGTTAAAAGTAACCTGGTATAATGATCTGAGGGCACAGGGTATGGAAATATGGGAGGTATGGAAATGGTCAATAACATATCTCTACAAATAGGTGTCTATGGAGGTAAATAATTCCTTAATCTGTATTCAGGATTTATGCAATTCACTAGATGCAAATTTTGATGGAAAAGCTAATTAAAGGAGGTGAATAATGAGATTAAAAGGCAAAATGTTAGTCACATGTTGCTGATTAAGTGCCATGTAAGTGAGGCTCCACTAAATTCAACCACTTATGTGGAAGTTTAAAAAGAATCAAAAGTTTTTAAAAATGTAAAGTTTTCAAACCAACATAAAAAGAGGAGAAGAATGAAGGCCATCATGTACACATGGGCCTCAGTGATAATCTTTAGAGGTACTTTTCTTTATGATATGCAAAAAATTTTCAAAAACCTCAAACTTTTTGATGTCATGCCATCAAATGTCCAACCTGGCATCATGGCCGATGTCATGTCAGAACCAACTTATAGCTGAGCAGCCTTTGGATTTTGGCGGCAGGGGAGGAGTTGTCCATCCTTTACCTGCGGAGTCGCTGGTGGATTCAAATGCCAAGTGTGGTACCGCCTTTGAGTTAGCTGTAAAACTCCTGCTGAACTTGGCCACCAGAGCTAACTGCATCTATAAGCTTTGGGGTTACTGGGATGTGTCTTACACCATCGAGCCCCAGATCTGAAAGCAGAGCATCCCACGGAGGTTCTCATTTATTATTATTATACCACCGGCAATGGCTTGAGTAGGGAAGAGAAATGGACTTGAACATGGAGGAGACTGTGAAATGGTACGGATTAAGGACCGCGTTCCAAGTCACAGCTCTGAAGGGCCAATAAAAATATTTTATGTGAAAACTGACTTTATTATAACTCTTTTTAAACGAGGAATGTTTGGGGACAACTAAATCCAACTTATAGATATTCTAGTATTCTAAATAACAGCGCTTGGAATGATCCCTGCTGTGTGGTGTGTACCAAGTGATGAAGATGAGGGATTTACGGGTACTTGGGTACTCACTAAGGATCTCTCATGGCAACAAAGCCAACTTTAAATGATGTTTCATGGATGCTTCATCAACACCTACAGTGGGGGTTAGGGAGCTCTGGTCACCTTGTGAATAAGGAGCTATGCTGCCAACCAAAGGCAGGTGATTTGAATCTACCAGCTGCTCTGTGAGAGAAAGATGGACACATCTCCTTCTGTGCAATTTACTGCCTTTGAAAACCTGCTGGAAGATCAGCTATGAGTCACTTCTGACTCGACAGCACATAAGACCGGGGGCTCGTAACCTTTGTTCTGTAAAGGGCTATATAATAAATATTCTAGGCTCTGAGGGATTATAATGAATATAAACTCTGCAGGTCATATATTCTATTGCAAATATTCAATTGCATTGGAGTTAACACAGCCATAGAAAATACATTTAAAAAACAAAAGATATAGCTTAAAACACTTTATTTATAAAAACAGGCTGCGAACATATTTAAGTTAATGGGCTGTAATTTTCAGACAATTATCTAACCAACCAGGAAATCTCTTCCTGTCTCAAAAGCCCTATCAAACCCTGTGATGAGACAGGTTTTTTCTTTCTTTCTAAATACCATGCAGGTACCTGAACACACACAGATTCTTAGACAGTCAACTTAAGACTTGGGGGAGGGAAGGTAGCTAAGACGACTATCATAAACCCGACCCTGGTGTACCTTACACCTACTTTTAAGACATAGGAAAGCAAGACATTCAACAGGGTCAGCGGTGTACTTACAATTCAAAGAAGGCAGGGTGTTCAGAATGAATTGCCAAACATATCAAAATAGAGCTAAGCAGAAGCAATGAGGAAATTAGGCCACAGCACAGAAACACCTAGTATTGATTGAGCTACAAACCGTAGTTTGATTATGGCCCATAAGGTAGAAGCAAGCCTCCCCGACTTTTTCATTTCTCATACATGCAGCGATATTAGGAGGGATCATCGCTGTGGAAAGGAGGCCCAGCACCAAGAACAGTCAGAGAGAGAGAGAGGGAGAGAGAGAGAAAGAGAAAAAGTTGAACATTTAGATTCCCTATAACAAAGAGGAAAGAAAAAAAAAATAATCTTCATTTGTTAACATAGGGCAAAGAGAGTTTATTTGTCCAGTCAGACAGTCTAAGGCAACTCAAATAAGGCTGCAGAGACCGCAATTGTTAACAGTGATGTTTTCAGACAGTCAGAGGTGACTAGAGAACCCAGGCAATGGATGCATCCTTTTTGTTTCGTTTTGTTTTGAAACAACTGGAACAATGACAGGCTGGCATAGGAAAGCATTAACAATAAACAACAAAGGAACCAAGGTCCCTCCCCCACCCCCAAAAAGACCGCGGCAGTTAAATTAAGTACAAAAAACTCATTACAAAAATAGCCTCACAGAGAAGCAGGTTCCAATCAATTCAGAAAAATATTGGAACTTAACATATCATAACCCATTTGTGAACTCTAATCAATCAATTTAGAGAGATTTAGTCCAACTGAGACATGGAAACAGTACAGCAGCACAACCCTGGTATGTTCAACCTTTCTTGGAGAAACCACATTACTTATGAAACGATCTTTATTTTTTAGCCCAAAGAACATTTCCTAGTGTTGGATTTTCATCCTCAGTGCAACAGACACAGGTTTTGAGAAGGTACACAGGTTACTGACGATGACTCTCAAATGAAATATTACATCCAACAGACGCGCAGGGAAGACAGAAAAGGGAGACAATGTTACACAGTTTCAGTGGCATCAACACACCTATGGGTTAGAGGGTTAGTCCAATGCATAGTCATAGCATCTTAACTGTTGTCAAAATGATTCCCACGGTGGTTGTCCATGTTGCCAGGGGCTCAGCTGACGCCCCGGCCCCACCTTGGGGCCCTCGTACTTTGCACCTGTACATGCGTCCAACCCCTGGGAAGGCTGCCCTTCCGAGGAGTTCTCTTTCTCCTGAATGAAGCATCCTTCAAGTCCAAAAATGCAACTGGGAATTGTGCAAGGACGACTTTCAGAAAAAAAGGACGGTAACAGAGAAATCCCTAATAAAGGGGACCAACATATATGGGGAGCATTCAATCACAGTTTCTATAGAAACTTTTGTAGACCTTTGGTTGGGAAAAAAAAGCCCTACATCTAGGGCATAGCTTTTTTTGTTTTTTGTGTTTTTTTTTTTCATTTTAAACAAGAATCTCAAATAAATAGGACATAGTTATTATAATATACAATATTTTCCCATCAGAACACTAAGCTACATAAGGATCATGGCCGTCTGCTCAATTCATGTCTACAGATAGGACAAAGGAACTCTATGTTGGCTTTCCTCACAGGAAAGGTATAGTAACACGTTTCCCCTCAAGATGAGCACTGGGAACCTATTTATTTCATCCTTTATCACTTAAAAACATATGGCTAAATATCAACAGGCTTGTTTGAGAATAGTAGTGGGCTTGGTGGTCTGATCTGAGGTAAGGGACCGCTGGGGGGCTGAGAAGAGTTGTAGACAGAGCAAAAAAGGAGGTGAGCAGAACCCCCATTACATCTCCAAATTTCATGTCTCTTAAATAACAGTATCAAGGAACCAAAAAAAGATTATTAAAAAAAAAATTGTGCCTCCACATATCACTCAGGAAACCTGCTTTCCTGCTTCTTAAAAGGAGTAGAGTCATTTTGTGCTAACAAGTGAATCTGAGAAACAGTTTGGCACAGTTCAAACAAACATTCCTTCGCTCTTGGTCGGACTAGACAAAATGTTCTCTCTGATTATCAGAAAGGGGGCTACCCAGGCCTTGTCTCGGGCTACGCCCCAGTCCACGTAAGCAAGCAAAAGGATGAAATGTGTAGAGGTTTCAGAACAAGCGAGGCAAATAATCACATGGTGCGAAAGGCTGGTAAGACACTGGTGAACAGGGGAAACAAAAGGGATTTCCTGCTGCCGGCTGGAGACAAATTCATGGAGTCATGCCAGGGAAGGAGGGAATGTTTTCATAGTTTGACCCACCATATTCCGGTACCGAGCCGTCTCCCCGCTTCAGAAACAGGCGTACTCTGCGGCCGCCATTCTTAATCAGTTCTATAGCCCGAGAATGCTTCATATTTTTGGTGGTCTCGCCGTTAATCTCCAAAATTTCATCACCAATCTGCCAAAGAAGCAAGAAAAGAGCACAATTGAGAGGGCTACAAAGGGTTTTCTCCATCTCGTGACGTCCACGGAATGTCAAAGTCTTCCATCTGTTGACACAACAAGTATTTATCGAGAGTCTTTGATTCCAGAGAATCTTTTTGTGCTTGGGAGACTCATTTGAAAGCAAAACTAAAAAGTTTCTGAGATTGAATTCTAAAGGAAAAAGAAAAAATAGACAAGAAGAGTACTGGTAAAGAGTGACTAAAAGAAGGAAATAAAACAGTAAAAAGGAATAGCGATTCTTGGGGGAACAAAAAAGCATGATGGCTTCTAAGATGACTCGCAATGGTCCCTCAGTCCCTGAACCATGCCTATGACATCTCTGCCCTTTCAACATGGACTTGACTTAGTGATGTGCTTCTTTTTTTTTTATTTAATTGTTTTTATTATTTTGTGTGTGTGTACTGTCAAACGGAGTCTGACTGGTACAGAAGAGATTGCCCCTCCTTCTCCAGCAGAGCATCTGGTGGAGATGAACTGTGTACCTCTGGGATTGCAGTGCAGCTTCTTACCACTAGGCCACCAGAGCTCATGATGTGCTTCTAAATCTATTATATGGCAGACCTGAGGGGATGTCAGTTCAGAATTACGAGGCCCTTCTGGCTTCTCTTACTAGAGTTCTTTAGCTCATTGTTGTCCTGATGGAAGCCAGCTGTGGGCTGCCCTGCAGAGACCCAGGGCCCGAGCAGCAGTGGATCCTCCAAGTACCACACAAGGGAGCTCTTTCCCAGTCAAACCTGCAGATGACAACTCCCACTGACTGACTGAGCGCAGTGTTTAGCCCTAGTTGAACCCTACTCTCATAAACCCTAGAGTACAGAGGGCAGAAGAGGACAAACCCCACAACAAACCAACTCAACGTTAGAGTGAAAAGCCTTTGAGCTGGAGACCATGTTATGTGATCCTTTGGGATTCTCTCTCTCCTCATTTATAAAGGGGATGAGGAGAGTCCCCAGGTCTATTTAGATGAAGGCATCAAATCTAGCTATCAAAATAGGTCTTGTAAATTGGATAGTATTAGAACTGATGACAATGTTATTTCCTTAAATCAGAATTTTTCTAAGCGATTGAACACAAGGACAAGAAATTGTCCCATGTGTTTGAAATATCAACAAAAGGAATTTAATCATCATTTGCCTTTCCTTGTAAAAGTACAAATTATTTCAAGGATATAAAGGAAACTGGTAATACTGCTTTATCTTGGAAATAGGATTTTAACTATGTACCATTTTACACTGTTTAATCTCCTTAAAACCACACTCATGGTCTACTTTTTAAAATAATAATAATTATACACACATACATGTTAAAAGGGCAAACTTAAAAGTCAGGGTTATCCTATAAGTACAAATAATGTTTACATGCTCCACCCTTTGGATCACCCCCCTCTCCTCTTGCCTTTCAGATCCAGTTTCACTCACGTTTTTCTTTCCTGGCCCACTGTGATTTATTTTCAGCGTTACCCATGTCTATGTTTCATTTTGTGTGACCTATCATGAATATGATTTCTTTTTTCCTTACTCATCTAATCTGCCGAAAAGGGAGGAATAGTTACATACAGCAATAGAGTTTAGACAATGAAACAGGACAGAGTTAAGTCTCAGAATCTGGGCATTTAAAATCTGCAGCTTTAACAACCACACTTTAGCAACCCTATAGATTCCTGCCAGTGAGTGGGTCATCACTTCTTTGCTAAGTGTTCAACTTGCTCTCTCCATGACCAGGTTAGGGTAAAAAGCTCTGTAGAGTGATGGACCTCACCACCCAGCATTTACAGGGTCATGATGCCTTTCTGCTTTCTGGTTTGTACAAATAGCTACCAAGCCTGGTTGCTAACCAGGATGCTGGTGGTTCCACCCAGAGGTGCCTTGATGATCTAATCCTGTCCCTGACAACAGAAGACAGTTGTGCTCAGACACTTGGGGATTCCATGAGTCAGAGTCGCCTTGAAGGAAACCGGTTTAATCAGTAAGCAGCACCCTGGGAAGTGATGCTTCAGCTACAGGCCAAGCACAGGTACCAAGGAGCCAAGATTCAGAAAAAAGCTACTTTAACAAGTTCATAAATGAGTTTAATCCTTCAGTCAATCCCAAAGAGCTGGCAGGGCTTACCTAACTCTGGCAGCTAACTGTGCTTTAGGTGAGAAATATACTCTAGGGTGGGAGTCATGAATTACGAGCCTTTTGAAAGCGATCGATGCTGTGATTCTCGTGAACACAAAGGCTGCAGCCATAGATACCAAGAAGTGACTGCAGAGGATTTAGTGACATCACCTCTCACTCTGCTGCTTCCTACTTACCCTCATTTTCCCACATCTTTCTGCAGGACCATCCTCTGCTAAGCGCAGGACATAGAGGTCCATGTTATACTCTCGGCCGCCTCGAAGGCTAAAGCCAAATCCTTTGGCCCCTCTTTCCAGTTCCACAGTGTAAAAATCTTGCTCCTATTTGAAGAAATGAAATGGAATCATGCTGGTAGAAATTATACCCCCACACACCCTTATGCAAGCACATTCTCTATCAGGCCATGTTGGCAAAATGGTACAGTCTCTATCCGTCTCTTGGTTTGTTTGCAAGAGGGATGTAACTAGGATTTGTGGCAGAACAACTGTCCCTTATGTAACACTTGGTATGTTCTCAATTCTCAGCCTCATGACCAATATATACCCGTGACCTTCCTTCCACGATGACACCAACAACCACATGCCAGTCCTGTACATCTGGGGAGTATGCAGTTCTTTTTCTCATGAATATGCTAGTAGAGCTCAGAAAACTAGCATATAGGAGACCTACTTAACTTTGCCTCATCTAATGTTCCCCAATTTTATTTTACTTACTTCGAAGCATCATCCATTGTCATCCTGAGAGACAAGCATCTTACTATATGGATTATACTAGAAAATTCACAAAGCTAAGAAACCTCTTATCAAAAAGATATTTTCTTGGCATAAATATGCTTATGAATCTTACAAGTAGCTTGACTCTTGTTTCGGTCACTAATCCTTGTGGTAGTTATAATTTTTTATTATTTTTGTCCCTCTCAGAAAAGGATATATCGGCATATTTTTTCAAAGGTCATTTCCTAGACAACTAAACGCGCGCACATAATGGGCAAATCACGTCACAAAAGATTATTTATTGTAATTGAGGGTGCTTTAAAAAAACTAGCTTGCAAAAATAACTTTAGAAAGTTGGAAGGAAACGTGTAGGGTAAACAAGAGGGGAAAAGAGGTTGTTCTCACCTGTGTTGTCTGGGGTGCTTTGAACTCAAACTGAGATTCCTGCTTTGGTTTGGTGGTGGTCCTGCCAAAGCGAGAGAAGAAAACCATAAACAACCCACGCGGAGACTGCAAACCAATCAAAGGCAAGAACTGTCATCTACGGGTTCCTTTCCTCCTGGCACAATGAAAAGAAACCGAGCCATGCCTGACCTTGTGTCTTGGGTCCCTTGCTGAGGTGGGGCGTGTGTGGTGGTGATGGTGGCGATCTTCTCTGCATTGGTCAGCAAGGTGGCATTTGAGGACTCTGCAGGGTGAGACAGAGCGTGAAAAAGTGAAGGCACGGAGAGGATACCATCAAACAGGATGCGTAGAAGCCTAACGCCTGAATGACAACTCTGATACCTTCACAACAATGATCAACTGTTCTGATTTGAGTTTCTAAATAATTTGGAATTTTTAAAAAAATTCTAAGAACTCCAATGATGTGGGCCATGAACACTCCTAGTACCCTCCTCCCAACCAGATCTCTCCATGAAATAAGGAAGCTTGACAAAGGAAATGCAACTCTACAATTGTCAGGATTTCACTCTGACACTAAAAAATGGCAGCCCCCGTAAATCACAACCCCACACCAAAATTACCTTTGTTACAAGCCAGTGAGAAATGTCTCTACTAACATTCCCTGCAACTTACCAGCAATATTTAGTAAGCCTGCCTGATTTCCTTGTGTGAATATTAAAATAGGAACTGTGCCAACATCTTGTTAAACACACAAATATGAAGTTTATTCTCCATTGTTTTTAATGAAGTACAACTGAAAATGTGGCATTCTTGGTAGAGATCTTGGTTATCACTCATGAAAGATGGATTTTAAAACTTGTATTAGTTAGAGCCAGAGTTTGTTAAAAGAAGTTGTATAAATAAATCATAGTCACCCTAATGTAATGAATATGGTCATATTCTTATGTAAATTGACTTTCTTCTCCACTAACCACATTCATAAGCAACTTCATTAATCTCAGGAACTTTGGAAATCCAGAACTTGAAAATTATTCAGATGTGTGCCTATAGGCTGCAGACCAACATGCATATATTAAAATGCACTCATTCACACAGCAACAGTTCTGCTCGCTCACTAATTACTTCTCTGCTAAGATCAAGACAGAGAGCAATGAACTATGAGCAAGCAGCACTTTTAATATTTATCTTTACATTGACAGTATGCAACTTGGCATGAATTTTCTAAGCAAGTAAACCGCCAATGTAGTGATTAGCTGCTAAGTTTCCACTTAATTCACTGTATCACAAAATCTACAAGCTTGCAGGAGTCCTAGGTTTCACAGAAGGTACCCTAACATTTGTGGAATGGTATCTCTACTCATGCTATGTACCAAGGCATGGAATGTCTGTTTCTTCACTAGAGTCCCGGGACTACATATATTCCTTATTTTACAACTCTAGCTAATGGGTGAATAGATATTGGTCTAGCTAATGATTGACACAGTGACTGCAATATCTGACCTAAGTTCAGCAGAGATTGTGGGTATGGCACTGAATCAGGCAAGGTTACAATCTATTCTACATAGATTCCCTGAGAGTCACTGTCGACAAGACCACACTCAACAACATGGATACCCGGGTGTAGCTTCCTGTCACTCTGCTTGCATTACACACAGCAAGTGTGGGCTTGAGCTTCAGCCTCAGGTTCCAAGACTCTTTTATCCGCTTACAAGTTTTATTTCCCTCATCTGATTAAAGAGAATGATGACAGCGACTGCCTTCTGATGGAAGTACCTGAAATGTTCAGTATAGTGTCGGACAACAGCAAGCAGGTAGTAGTGGCTTACTGCTCTCCTGTCACTGCTTCTAGTACACCATTTGTTACTGTAAAGAATAGCTTATGTATTATTTGAATAGCTTATGTTCTAGCCATAAAGCTCATGATTCTTTTTTTTTTTTTCATGATTCTTAAAGCTAAACCACAAGATCAGAAAAAATAAGGCAACTCGCTCTGGTGGCCTAGTGCACCAACCCAAAGGCAAGTAGTTCGAATCCATACACTGTTCTGAGGGAGAAAGACGGGCAGTCTCATTCCGTGCGATTTACAAGCCGCTGAAAACCTGCTGGAAAGTCTACTGTAAGTGAGTATCTGACTTGATGGAATGAGTTAGCTGAGTAGACCAATGTGAATCTCATTTATGTTTTGGGGCAATGTTTTTATCTGTCTTATAAAATCTTTCTACAAAGAGGAACCAGTGGTCAAGCAAGTTTTGATAACTTAAAGGTAAATGCTTTTTGTGTATGTGCTTTATCTTACAGGACTTCTCTAAGTCTCTGAGATTCCAATATGCCTGTGAGTGTGGGGGTGTTTATTTCATGCTCCCTATGCCACAGCTCCCCAAAATCTTAACATGCTGGACTCAGAACATTTAGGCTTTGCACATCAGGCAAAAGTTTCTGTGCCTCAGTTTCCTCATCTGCACACTAGGGATGGCGTAAACAGCTAAGAAAACTGTTGCCAAGATTATCAATGAGGAAAGTGAAGTAGTGCCTGGAACATAAAAACTGCTGAGGAATGATTAGTATATCTTTTATACTGGTAGTGTACAGTACCCCTAACCAATATTAAAAGCATGTCATTACTGAATTTATGGTCCACTTGACTGCTTAAGGGTCAGTGGCTGGCATGTAATGATAGTTCCTCAGGAGAAAAGACCTGGTGACCTCTTCCCATAAAGTCCAGTGAACCTTACAGGCACTACTACTCTGTCATGGAGGGTGCTATGAGTACAAATTAATGGCCTAAACATATGAAAGGAAAACACCTTTTCTTCAGAGCTTTCTGAAGGAAACTGATCCAGATAGTCCCATTCTAGGGCAGTAAACTGGCAGAACAACGTTAGTAAATAGAAGTGATTAGGCCAGAGGACAAACAGCCCATTGAGAATCGCCATAACGTTCATCTTGGCCCTATGGTATCTTGTACGTTGCTCATGGTAATTCATTTCATGGAGACTCTCTGGGAAATCACAGGATTGTTTGGGCCATGGGGAAATCATAACCACGATACTAAAAGGAATGTTTCCTGGTAATTAAAAGTCATTCTAATTGTTGGATTGTGCAGTGGGTCCCCTTAAAGTTATTTTGCTGCTGGTAGCCAGCCTTTTCTAGGCAGAATTGATCTAGCTTTCAAGTTTGTTATCATTGACTTTTATGATCTGATGAAATATAGTAAATAACCACTCAGCACATATATAAAAGAACTTTTAGTAATAACCTTCCTATCTTTCATTTGTTATTTTCACTATCTCTACTTATATAAATCTTTTTGGGGTTGAAGTTTAAGTAGTTTTGCTAACTTTAAGTGTATAAATGTCGAGTTAAGCTCAAAGAATTTTCCCCCCTTTAATTCTTATCATGATTTTATATATCACAACCACACACTGACAATTTACAGTATGTCAAGCATGATATATTATCATTATATCCTTTATTTCGTACAACTCAGCAATTGATGGATAACTGCTATTCCCAATTATAGACGAGAACACTGAAACTTAGAAAAGTAACATATGTGACATCATCTAACGTGTCTAAGGCCACAAGCAAGAAAGAGGAGAAGTAACATATGTGACATCATCTAACGTGTCTAAGGCCACAAGCAAGAAAGAGGAGGCTGTTATGTGCCATTGAGTCACCTGTGACTCAAAGCAACCCTGTGTACAACTCTGAACCCTGCTCTATCCTGAGGCAACCTTGTCTCTGACACACCTACCCACATTACCCCAATCACTGAATCAATCCATCTCATCCAGGGTCTTCCTCTCCTGCGCCGTCCCTCTACTCTCCCAAACATGACATCCCTCTCCAAGGGCTGGTCCCTTCTTGCAACATGCCCAAAGTATGTCAGACAGAGTTTCAGAATCCTTGCCTCTAAGGAGCAGCCTGGTTTCACCCTCTCCAGATGTGCAGGCTGGGTTTAGAAAAGGCTGTGGTACTAGGGATATTATAGCTAAAAAAGAGGGGGTAGTGGGAATGAAATCCAGGGACTGTATGAGGCCACAACTTATATGTCTTATTACTGTCTACTCACAACTTACTCATAAATGACCCTCGAGTGTCTTTCCAGAGGCTGTGAACTTCACAGCACGAGACTTCCCAGGTTTCTCTTTGGAGCAGCTGGTGGGTTTGATCTTCTTGACTTTAAGTTGACAGTACTGTCTTACCATGAGGCCCCAAGATTCCCTTATAACCTATATAGTTCACATTTAGTCTTATTTTACTTATATGGCAAAGTGATGGGAGCAAGGAAATCCTAAATAATTGGTCCATTTTTTTAAAAAACACAATGCTTTTATTATACAACATAAATACCACTAATTTCATTAAGTATCATCGATTAATTAAAACACCCAATTACCTGCTCTGACTTCTTGACTACATTGTAGGCCATTTTCAGAAGACAAATAATTTTTAGCATGTCCAAGACTTCCATGATGTTTTATAATCTCAATAAAATCATGCCGCTTTTAATGAACTTTGAAATCTTTAACTGGAATCAAGCCAAGACTAGGTTGAGTAAAATGTACTCCAGCTTCTTTAAAAATAGAGATGAAGCTCACTGTTGCAAGTTTATAGCTTTGTTCCACAACAAAATGTGCCCCATTTAATAGAAAACATAGAGGAGAAGGGCCCGAGTAAAGAGTTCATACCTATGCCTTCCAGCATCAGGAATATTAAGGGGTTTTGATGTGTCTGACTTTTAAAATTTGAGGACAGATGAATGGATTGCAGATTTTTTAGTGTAATTGTAAAAATTGCCCTTCATAGTTTTCTCTAACAGTGTTTATCCCAACGTGGGCTCCCCATGGGATAAAAAAGGATGCCACTCTATACTTCCCTAACAACTGCTCATCTACAAAGGGGTCATAGTCTATCTCTCAGGGCACTGTCTGCAAGCTGGTGTAAATCAGCGCCTGATTTTTCCGGCAGGACCTCCTTACTCAGGTTTCAACCTCCATGAGAAGTGATTGCAATTCTAATCTTGTTCCCGTGCCAATATCCCTTAGTCTCCCTTACGGAATCCACATTACAAAGCCAAGCAGTTCAACAATGGCTACAATCACTGCTTTCATGAATATTTCAATGCATAAACACATATGCAATAAATATTTGAAGGAGGCATTTGAGAGTTTGAATTCCATGAATATTTGAAAAGTTTTGGGAGACTTTGAAGACATATGTGGTTGTAACCGTGTTTTCTGTGACCATGGGTAATACAGTAATCATGTTCGCAAAGCCCTTCTGTGGGCAACTTTACACTTAACATGCTTTGGCTAAGGAAACAGCAATATTTGAGATACCAAGCCCTACTTCTTATATAAGCAAATACCTTTAAATCAGTGATCTGAAGTATGTATTTACTGTTAATAGAAATAATAAATTTTTGAGCTCATAAATATTTTCATTATATAAACTTGAACCAAGCTAATGGTTTTACTTTCTTGTGGTTTGGCCAGGGCCTGTTCAAATTCTCCCTCACAGCCAGTCTTCATAGACCATTTCCACATGGTGCAATGGTAGGAGGCAGGTGTGATTATGACATGTCAACCTCCAAGTTCAAGTACATACAGCTATTTTCTGGTCGTGTCTGGGCTGTCTTTATATATTTATTATGCCTAGCCTGTTTCTAAGAGGAGAAAATGTTTTGCCTTCCTTACAACCAACCTTAGTCTCAAAAGACAGTAGGAGCAGAGAAGGTAAGAAGCCCCCTGACCCAGACCTGTGGAGAAGTCCTTCCAACAATACAAGAAGGTCAATAAAGGGAGTTATAGTGTGGAGTATTTGCTCGAAGGGATGAGTAAAGACTGAGAACTAAGAGAGAAAAGGGGGCAGGAGCCTGAGGGCAACTGTAAGACACGTGATGCTGAGGCGGCTCACAGAAGGGAAAGATAATCAGGCAAAGTGAGCCAGACAGCAAGAGAATTCAGCATAGGCTCTGAGGACTGTCCAGTCTAGAGTGCATGTTCCTAAATGCCGTCATCCACCAGGTGTTCCAGAACATTCTCTCTTACCACAACTATAATGCTCACACCCCTTTCATAGGAAGAAAGCTGATCCACACTGTTTTTTTCTTCATCAAACCCTGACTCTCATATTCTCTCTACCTTTCAGATACTTGCAAGATTATTCTGGACCACTTCAGCACTGCTCTGGAAACAACTCCTCTGTCTCAATGTTAATTTCCAAGACAGTGATCTCTGCATGGCAAAGGCCGCTAAAGTGCTAGACTGCAAAGTGAAACGCTAAAGGTTGACATTCACTCTGATGCACCTCGAAAGAAAGGTCTGGCAATCTACTTCCAAAATCTCAAGTAACTGAAAACTCTGTCTGAAACACATGGGGCTACCACGAATGAGAGGTGATGTGCTGTTGAGAACAGGCATCATGTTTCTGCCTGCTGTGCACAGCCTCTGAAACATACTAAGAAATCGGTGTAGACTTTATTCTCTTGGTAACAATTCCTGAAATATCACCCAGTGAAACCATATCCTCAGCAGAAAATGCGCTGCTTTTAAAATGTATCCATCTGCAATTACATTTTACCAACTTGATGTCTGCTTTTTCTTTCTGACCAAGGTAAAAACAAAGAAAGAAAAACACCAAAGCTCTTGACCACTGAATCGATTTCAATTCGGAGGGACCCTTATGGGACCGAGCACAACTGCCCTCCAGGGTCTCCAAGGCTGTCACTCTCAATGGTAACAAGACCTTTCCACCATCAAGGACTTAACTGCCACATCACCAGAGGTCTTTTCTGCCCAGCTGCATGTCTTTTAGAATTTTGCTTTTTATTTTTCTTAAATACTTAGCTTACAAATAAATATGCTTTCTTGTTGACAATGTAGTGCCACTGACTTGAAAGTGATTCTCAGCTGACACTTCAGAGAATTTTCACAGGCTGTAAATTGCACAAGAGGAGAATGACGCCTTTCTCCCCCGCAGAACGACCAGTGGGTTTGAATTATTTGCTTTTGGGTTGGCAACACAACCCCTATTAGATTCCTTTGTTTTCAGGTATTAAAAAAAAAATATCTCCTACTGTGGTTTATTACATGAAAATACCACCTATTGTATGTACTGTGGCACATGTTGTTCCTTTGAATGGTGCATTTCATTTGAATGTAGTAACATTGATATCTAACACTCTTTCTAAGCAATTCTCTCAAAGAGTGATTTATTTTCTTCTTCTCATTCTGTTTGAAATCCCCGTTTTCACAGCAATGTTGACCCGGGGATTCTGACACTGTCATGTTACAGATCCAGTAAGTCAATCCTTGACTCCAGTTGCTATGGCTTAGTCTTCTGGAATCTCTCCATGGCACGTGGATAAATGCATGCCTCTAAGTGTATTAACTACACCTGGCTCTGTGGATCGTTTTTTATTTTTCTGGCTTCCTTCATCTTTTCCATTAGAAACCTATGTTCTATCATCTTGCGATCACTTTGCCTAAATTGTTACAGCATTTCAGAGTGGTGAATTGGTGGACTGGACTCTGGACCAGATGGTAAATTACTAACTATGCATCTGAAGTAGAGAAGTACATCATCATTCAAGGAGCTATTTTTTCCTCTACATTCGGCATGGGGTATTTTGGGGACACAGAAAGTTTATGTTCTTGAAACCAACAATTTTCAAGTATTTATTGTTTGATTTTAGATTTACTTTTCCCAAAAAGTCAGATGACATCAAAGTTTACACAATAAGGCCCATTTTCTAACAATATCTTAACCTAAAACTCAGTGTGACCAGAGTTGATTCTGATTCAGAAAGATAGAATTAAACTGCCCCCTGCAGATTCCAAGGCTGTAAATCTTTATAGAAGACTGCCCATCTTTCTCCCACAGAGTGGCTGTTGCTGTTTTTAGGGGTCATCAAGTTGAGTACAACCCATAACCACCCTATGAACCCGGTCCTATCCTGTGCCATCTTCACAATCTCTGACACACTCAAGCCCACTGCTGCAGTCACTGTGCCGATCTGCCTGGTGCAGAGGAGCTGGTAAGTCTCAAACTGCCCTCCTTTTACTTAGCAGATGAATGCTCTAACCGTAACACTACTAAAGTTCCTCTCCCAACAATAGTTCTATGAAAATACTGATTTGGTAAATTACTTTTGGATAAGGGGCATGATTTTCTTACTACGTAGATCAATGGCACAGAACTGTTATAATGCTATTTCTAAAGATCCTGTTTCCTTAAGAAATGCTATCTTTCAGCAGGAATTTTGATGCAGAGTGGCATATTAGCGGTGTACTGAAGGAATACAAAATAAATTTTAAATATTTTGGGACAATTTTCAATTTCTATCCAAGCGCAAAATCTGCTTTGAATGAAGTTGATGTTCAAAGCGTCTATAGTTACTGACACTGGCGTATTCCCCCCGCTTCCCCCTGAGATGGAATCAGCTCACAAGTGACCCTCCAGGTGATTTTCTGAAGCTGTAAACTGCATGAGAGGAGGCCGTCTACCATTCTACCGAGGTCAGCTGGTGGACTGAGATGTCACCCTTTGGATGGGCAGTTCAGCTCCCCAGCCACCAGATTAGATATGGATTATAAAATGAATGATGGGATTTATGCCACATAATTCTCTGCATTAGGCAACCGAATAGCATCCCTGGCCTGTACCCATTAGATGTCAGCACGCTGCCATATGTCTCCTTGGGGCCAGCTTGTTAAGTGCCAATAATTACTCTCCATCTTTGACCTACTAGGGTCAAAGAACCAAAGATTTGAAGATAACCTACCAAAAATGTAGAGGTTTAAATCTTTAACCAAAAAATAGGAGTGACTAGATTAGGAACAAACCCTGAGATTTGCTCACTAAATATAAACAACAACAACAACAAAAACAAAACACTGATGTATTCACTTATTCTGAGACAGAAACAACACTGTCTCCACATTATTATCATTATTTAGCTTTTGTAATGGCAGCATATTATATAGGTAGAGTTTAATGACTAAAAAAAATTTGGCAAAAAAAATAGTTCATGAACATCAGGGAGCTCTAGTGGCCCTAGTGGAAACGAGCTGTGCTGCCAAGCCAAAGGCAGGTACTCCAGACGTACCGGCTACTCTGTGGGAGAGAGGAGGGCAACCTCCTCCCTTGTGATTTACAGCTTCAGAAAACCCAACGGAGCGCCAGCTGACTCCATAGCACACAACAACAATGAGAACAGAAGAGGAAGGCTTTCCTACTGGTGAAACTGATCCTATTTTAGACAAAACAAAACCAGCTGGAACGAATGTTTGGAAATTCTATTATCTGAAGCAAGGCAGGGCCAACAGATGTAGAGGATTAAGGAAGAGATGAGGTGTGGTTTAGTATCAGTGACTCACATCTGTCTGATGGGTACCCTTTCAGTTAACGATGGCTAAGGCTGCCTCTAAACCAACATTTTTCAATTACATGAACACTAATGATAGACGAGGGAGGGAGGGGAGGGAGAGAAGAAATGGGGGAGAGGAGGAGGAGGAGGAGGGGTGGTGGAGAGAGAGGAGAAAGGTGAGGGGGAGAAAAGGAAAAGGGGGTGAGGGAGAGGACGAGAGAGGAAGGAGAGGGAAGGGGAGAGAGGTGAGCAGGAGAGGGGAGAGGAAGGGGGGAGAGAAGAGGGAGAGAGGATGGAAGAGATGTGAGTGGGTGCTGTGGGAAAGGCAGAAGGAAGGGGAGAGAGGAGGAACGAGAAAGGAGGGGGAGAGAGGTGTGTAGGGAGAGATGGAGAAAGGGGGAAGAGTGGGGGAGAGGCGAGGGGAGAGAGAGAAGAGGTATACTTTACCATCCCCAGGAATGATGCGGAGGGTGACTGTGTTTCCTGCTTCCTTGATTAGGTTGACAATGTCGGAATGGGACTTGTTGGTGATGGAGCATCCATTTACTGCCAAGATCCGGTCTCCTACTTTCAGCTTCCCACAGCGGTCAGCAGGGCTCCCCTCAATAATCCGACCTATTTTGTGAGGCATAGCCACACATGCATTGCCTGCTTTGGTATTGAGTTTAATTTGTGTATTTTTTTTTTAATTACGTGGGAATACAGCAAAGGGAGGAGAAAAAGGGTTGAAAAGGGAAAGAGAAGGTTAAGTGTTAATTAATTAAAGCATTAAGCAAATGTTATTAAAGGAGAGCTCTGAGCCGAGGGGGTATCTGTGCAAGTTGCTACTGCCTCGAATTCAGGGCTGTGGTTCTCCCCTGATTTAAGATGATGGGAGAACCCCAGCTTCCCTCCTCCAATCAGTTACCACATTCAGGACATTGAACAACTTCAAAGCCTCTCAGGAGTCCGAAAATAACTCACTGTTGGCTTATTTTGGGACTGCTAATGTGAAACCAAGAGTGGAGACAGCCGCTTTTATGCATTCTGTGTTGGTGTCACTTCATTTTTGCCAGCTGTTGCTTAAGTTTCTGCCAATGTTTTTGCTCTTTCTCCATTTAGAAACATAACCACTGAGCTGCTGGTGAGGTAAGAGTCTGTTCGCACTGAAGATTCAACTGGGAAACACCTAATGGGCGCACACACACACAGACGCACGCACTCAGACCTTCCGCCTTCCATGCAGAATGATGAGAGCTCCGGTGGTGGTGGAGGGGCGAGGGAGAAGCATGATTATGAGATGAGCCAAGGAAGCGGTCAACCCCGACACCTCGATTTCCTCGTATGACCTTTGCTCAATCAGCCCAGTGTGTATGTGTTCACTGAGACGGGGCTCAACTGCTTCATTACCGCTAGAATCTCCTTCCTCCCTCACAAAAATCCCCTCAAGGGAAGACGAAGATCTAGGGCTTACTCAGGCTGCGGACACTGATCCGAAGCTAGGTTCAAATCATTCCTCAACCCTTTTCCTTTACTCATGCCCTTTCTCAGAATAAATCATTGCACATCTACAATGCTAGAAAGCAGGAAAAGGTACGTTGGAAGAGGAAAGGTTTATTGTGCAATATGTCAACAACCAAGAGCTTCGTTTCTTTCTACGTACAGGTGGAAAACGGGCTTTGAGGCCTGACATGGAGTTTCTAGGTAGTTATATACTGAGTTTCAAAGGTTCTTATGCATATTCTCCTCTTTTGAGAATCTTTCTTTCTTGGGACTGACCATTAAGATAGCTTTCATAATTCCTAGGCCTATTAAGGTGACCTAAGTATCAAACACTGGGGACAGTGAAATTAGCGACTGAATAGGCTTTTCTCTCATAATTTAGACTGTGGTGATAAAATGTATAGGACAATGTACTGTAATTTCTTGAAACTGCTGCCACTGTGCTTTGGGTTCTGCCCCTGGATATACTACAAGGTCAAAGGAGGAAAAAAAAAAAATAAAGGAAATAAGCAATCTACTGGAATCCAACAGACAAGTGACAGAAAGCGTCCATTCTCAAGTTCAAGGTCTTGCCTAAGTTTAGTCTACTTGCAAGGCCAAACTGCACGAGCAACAGAAAGCAGCAGGTATGAGGCATGCTCTGAAGTCTCATGCAAAGTATTAGCCAAAGTTTAAATCTGTTTAGTGCAAGAGCCAAAGCAAAACAATTGTGAGTGAAGACATTCAGTTTTCATCCTATAGTACAAGATGCAACTGATGTTCTTCTCTAGACAGACTGAGACTATCAAGGGAGCTGGGGACAATACACAGGTTTAAAGACAATAACTTGCGGGTTCTTCCCCCCTTCTTTCTTTTTCTTTTAAAATTAAACAAAAAAGCCTCAGAATTTAAACAACTTTTGGTTCAAAGACACGCCATCCATGCCATGCCACTATCGTAACTTTATTCATTAGTGTAACTCTCAAAAGCACTGTTAGTACCGGGTATTACTGCGGCCATACATACAGAGCCCTGGCTGACTCCCTTCTAATGACCACAATTTAGAAAGGAATGGTTTTAGCACAGCGAATGAAGGCACAGGAGTTGTATCGGGTAAGTATGTTGAGGGGACAGAGCACCTTCCTGATCCTAGCTTTCCAACCTAGATAATTATTAGACATTATACTCTATGTAGTTAAGTCATGTTGGGGCAGAGCTGAGGCTCAGTTCAAAGCCTGTACAGCCTTTCCTCACTCCCATCCTAGCCCACCTTAATGAATGCTTGTGCTCAGGAGATATAAATGACTTTTTATCTTATCAAGGAAATAGCTTATTTTGGGAGTAAACATACAGAACCCTTTCTAATGCAATGGAGACTCTTGGGCCACTGGTTTCTGGCATCAGGCGGTCCCCGTTTGCCTTTGTGGGCACAGCAGCAGAAAGCTGATCAACCTTCTGAAGAGGTGATGCACATGTGTCCTTGCACCCCGCCGAAGCCCCCAAGTCTGGACAAGGCAGGGAGGTTGGCTCTGCTGGAAATTAAGAGGCAGCAGGGACACTGGCTTCTTCACTCAGATTTTAGCGTGAATTTTAACCAGGTAATTGTAAAAATGTTATTTAAAACTGGGGGGAAATGTGAAACAGGAACAGGCTAGAGAAAGCACCCCAATGAGGTGGAAAGAACATTTTAAGTATTTTACTTGTACACCTCTCTTCTTCACGGGCACTTTTAGAATCGTGTGTTCCTCTTACCCCAGAAGACCGCCTGAAACCACTGCTATGAATGATATTTGCTCTTTGGAAAGTCCTTCTCTGGCGAATTTCTCACTCTCTTCATTGTCAAGGGATTATTACTCAAATGTCAAACACCCATGGACAAGGGAAGCTGTCTGTGTTTAAACGCACATTCAGAACGAACCTGAGGGCTAAACGCACCTACAGACGCACCCTCCAAAACCTGTGCTTCAAAAAGGGGGACAGGCCCCCTATGAGTGCAACTGCACCCCCCACTGAAGGCTTGCATTACCTGCGGGCACTGGTGCTATGTCTTCCCTGGCGGCTGGGGACTCACCGAACGTGGTGCCCGCCTCGGGCCTGCTCACGGAGGACACGATGACGAAGCCGAAGCCCTCGTTCTCGCCTCGCCGGATCTCCACGTCATAGGGCTGCACTGCGCTCACCACGCCGCTGCCACCGCCGCCGCCACTGCCGATGCCGCTCGTGCTGCCGCTGCCCGAGCTCACTGTGTTGAGCGAGTTCTGGCTGCCCTGCGGTGTGCGCTTCTCCTCCGTCAGCGAGGCCGGCTGCGTGCTGCTGTGGTGTGAGGACGCGGGCGACGGCACCTCGTTCTCCCCCTTGGGGACTGCAATGAGATGTGCACATCCCAGTGAGGGGGCAGCACCTCTACCGCACCCTTCGAGAGCACCCCCACGCCAACTGCGCCCTCCCACACCCAATGCACCCCCACACCAATTGTGCCCTCTCTACTGCACCCCATGCCATCCGTGCCCCCTCACTGCACCCCCACGTCCACCGTGCCCTCCCACACCCAATGTACCCCCGTGCCAACTGTGCCCCCTCACTGCACCCACATGCCAACTGTGCCCTCCCACACCCAATGCACCCTCACACCAATTGTGCTCTCCCTACTGTACCCCCGCCAACTGTGCCCCCTCACTGCATCCCCATGCCAACTGTGCCCTCCTATCCCAAATTGGCCTCCCACTGCACCCCACCCCAACTGTGCTCTCTTACCAACTACACCCCCACTGTATGCCCAAGCCAACTGCACCCTTCCACACCCAATGCACCACCACACCAACTGTGCCCCCTCACTGCACCCCCACACCAACCGCACCCTCCCTACTTCACCCCATGCCAACTGTGCCCCCTCACTGCACCGCCATACCAACTGTGCCCTCCTATCCCAAATTGGCCCCTCACTGCACCTCCACCCCAACTGTGCCCTCTTACCCAAACTACACTCCCCACTGTAACCCCAAGACAACTGTGCCCTCCCATCCCAACTGGGTCCCCCACTACACCCCCACCCCAACTGGGCCCCCACCCCTACTGCACCCTCCCAAGCCAACTGTGTCCCACCCATACTGAGTCTCCTCAACCCAACTGTGCCGTCACTGCACCCCAACACCAACTGCAACGCCCCACCTCAAATACCCTCCTAAGTGAACTGTATCCCTCCCCTACTGAGTATCCTCATCCCAACTGTGCCCCCTGGTACACCCCAAAGTCAACTGTGCCCTCCCACCCCAACTGCACCGACAACTGTGACCCTCCCTGCACCCCAATGCCAACTGCACCCTCTCAACCTACTGAATCTACTCGCCACTCCACCCCAGCTGCACCCCACCTTAACTGTGTCCCCACCCCAACTCTGTCCCCTCATGCCACCTGCATCCCAGACCCCATCTATGTCCCCTCATCTGAACTGTACTTCCATCCCATTGCACCCCCACCCCAACTGTGTCCCTAGACCCAACTATGTCCCTCAGCCCAACACCTCTCTGCCCCAACTGAATTCCTCCACCCCAACTGAATTCCTCCACCCCAACTCTGCCCTTTACTCCTTCTTTCTTCTCCCAACCTTACAGCCTGCAAAAAGAATCATAAAAAGAAAAAAAATCAGTGCTAGGTATCGTGGCCTATGGCCTTACAGAACCAAAGTACAGAAATTCCTCACAGGTTCTCTTGAGAAAGCATTTACTACTCAACATTCACTAACATTGATCCCAAAGAAATGTAAGAAGGATTCTCAAATTATGCAACATGTACAGCATGTGCACATCAGCATCTACACTGAGAGTGAAGTTTGCTGAAGGATCAGCCCACTTTGAAAGAATAACTCCAGTGCACAAATAAAAGGAAAAGGTGTTTGAGTTGAGATGTGGGCTACACCAATCACAACCAGCTCTTTGTTATGGAGACAGGAACCTAACTGCACATTCACATCGAGGGCACTAAACTCTCAAGTCCTATTTTTCTTTGGCTTCCCAACAGCTCTGCTTTAAATGTATTTTCATTGGGCAAATACAAAGGCCCTCCACAGCGGTCTTGTTGACTTTAAACATGAAGCTTAAATAAAAACAACCAATATAAGACATTGTTATTAATCTTAACCTCAAATGATTAAAATTTAAAAAAAAACCAATCTGAAACAAAATTACAATACTCTTGTTTGTGGGAGCTGTTGATGTCTTAGTGGCAAGGATTTGCCTGCTTACACAAAGGTATTTGGTTTGAACCCATCAACTGCTTTGAGGGAAAAAGATGGGCAATCTCTTTCCACGCAATTTACTGCCTCTGAAAACCTGCTGGAAGGTCAATATGAGCCAGTTCCGACTCAACGGTGCACCACAACATCATTCTTACTTTGTCAAAGCATTTCTCTCATCCCCCTGGTCAACTCTAACTGATCACTACTGGCTACATAAAATACTATGCTGCAGATTCTTAAAGTCATGTATTAGATCTATGAGGAAATAAATTCTGTGACTGATTCACTGTTTTCTGAGTGTGGAAGATAAGACCCTTACATTAGAATCTGGTAACTTCATAATTAATCATTTACCAGTTCAGTTACACTAGAATTCCTCCTCTCCACCCCATTCTCAATAAAAACAGCGGCCTCAATTAATTTTATTGGATAAGTATTTGCTCTACTAATATAAATGCTATGAAGATTTCATAATACTTCATGTCATAATTCTCTGGTAATTGTTACATTTCATTATGCTGGTTCCACATTCAGGGTTCTGTCTTGACTGCTTCCAGGTTGGGACTGTATACAAAGGTAAAAAAATCAAGGTACATGCTTTCAATACACTGAGGTTTGAATGGAAAACGCAGATCCACGCCTCACTGTCTCAAAATGTAGGACTTGATATGGAAATAAAGCATGAGGAATGGGAAGGGCAATAGGACACTGATGAAGAGGGGTTTCTGAAGCTTCACAGAGGTTATACATGAGCCCTGGAGGATACACAGGAGTATACGAGAGCTAAAGACCTCTGAAGGCTGCAGTCAAGAGAAAAATCAAACATGACCTGGAACTACCCAGATCTACGACTCACGTGCAGAGAATTTTCCCTTTAAAAGAATGACAATGCTGAGTAAAATATCTCTGTCACAGAAGGACAAATACTGCATGGTGCCACTGTTGTAGAAAGTGACTGACATCAGGGTTGGGGTAAGACTGAGAAAAACTGGATAGATTATGTATACTGAATTGAAACAGATGATGGAGAGAACAGTTTAAAAGCGATATATGATAGCATATTATGATTATCACAGGAATCCAGAATTAAGGTTGCATAGTGTGGGGCGGGGTAGGGGGGCAGGGTCGGGAGGGGGAGATTGTATACCAACAAAGAAATTTATCTTTTGCTCTTCAAAGCAAAACTGGGGAGAGGGGGGTAAAGAAAAAAGTACAACAATTAATGAATGAAAATCCAAAATCTCTGTAAATGTTCATCAAAATTAATAAAATAAATGACAATGACAAAGAAAGAAATCACTACTTTTCATGTGAAACGACAACCTGCTGACTTTCATAATGACCTCTTTTTTATTTTTTTAAAATTTTTTATAATGACCTCTTTTGTGAAGCGTTATTAACAGTTAAAAAGGATCACTAAGTCCTTTTAAGGACTAAGGTTGGCACTGGATGAGGGGAAACAATGTATGTTCAACAAGCCTTCTTCCATACGCCCTTACTGAACATGTGTGAATGACACATTAAAGTGCCTTTGAATGACAGTAGTGTTGCCTGGTTTGAGAGAAGCAAACCATCTGGAAATTCTGAACTTGATCACATTTGCAAACATTTACAAAAATAGACCCTTGAGGAGGCAGGCGCGGGAAGGAGGGCCATCTCTGTGCATAAACTGGAGAGGCACTGTCTGAAGGAATGAATGGAAACATACCTGCAAACACCACTTTGCGCCGCACAGTGAGGTTGACATGGCCTTGCTTGGCAGCTTGTTGCATAAGCTGGACCACAAGCTGGTGTGATTTTCCAATTACTGGTGTCCCATCGACACAGATTAATTCATCTCCAGACCTCAGGCGGCCGTCCGTATCAGCAGCACCCAGTGGTACAATGTGACCGATATAAATCTGTTGAGTAATTGGACAGTGGATGAAGCATTGACCCCGGGTTTACTATTACAACTGAGCTTGTCACATTTCTAAGAACAATTCAGTTTCTTCGTTACAACCTGTCTGCAGAAGCTTCAAACATTTACTGAGTACCCACTGTGTCCCAGGGCCTGGTGTTAGGTGCCGCAATTTTTACCTGTGGTCTTCTGTATGGCCCATCTTTCCCTTACCCTTTTGCAGATATAAATTACCTTACCAGTTGCCATTATCAACTCTAAAACATAGTGTTAGAACAGAACTGAGCTCCGTAGATTCCAGTGGCTGGATTTTTGGATTCAGACCTCTTCTTCTGAAGCATCTCTTTGTGGAGTCAGAAACTTCTCACCACCAAGCATGGCACCACTCAGAGCCCCCATAAATCACTCTAACTCCTCTTTTCACCCTTCTTATCTACATAAAGGGGAGTTCTGATGGCCTAGTGGTTAAAGCATTGTGCTGCCAACCCAAAGGCAGGCAGTTCAAATCCAGCAGTTACTTCACTGGAGAAGGATGAACAATCTCTTCCTGAGTGATTTACAGCTTCTGAAAACCTGGCTGGAGGGGTGGCTATGAGTTAATTCCAATTCAGTGGCAACTGAGTTCTGATATCTATTTCAGAACATTGCTTTCATATATAAACTCTTCTAATTAGTAATAATCATAAAAGCCACATTTTTTTTTCTGCATAGGAATGCAAGGAAATATGTGAAATGATGCCGGAACCAAGCAAAGTCTGGCTTTACCGTTCAGTTCTGCAATATTTCAGTCTGTGCACCCAGAGCAGTTCTCAGTGTCTTACTGCTATGCTCACCAAGCTTTAGCTCAAACACCTGTCTGCACTTCCTTGCCTTCCAAGTAGACAGTAATAGCACACATACCTCTATCAACATCTATAATTAAGAAGGAACCTCCACAAACTAAAAAACCCACAGGTTCTGGAGCCAGACAGCTTTCTGGCAGGCCATGAACCAGCTTTGTGACCCTGGGCAAACTAATTAACCTTTCTGTGCCTTTGTTTCTTCTTCATTTGATACATGGTGATAAATACATTAATTTGATGGGTAAATGATACAATGTGTTAAAAGCTTTCAGCATGGTGTCAGACACAAAGTCAGCCCTCAATAAATCATGCTGCTGTTGTTGATTAACTCATAGTGGCCCTAACTTCCTCATAGGGTATTAATCTTTATGGAGAGGGTGTCACAGTGGTGCAGGGGTTAAGCATTTGGCTTTGAACTGAAAGGTTGATGGTTCGAATACACCAGCTACTCCACAGGAGAAACATGTGAAAATCAGCTTCCATAAATATTAAAACCTGAGCGATTCTGTGGGGCTGTTCTATTATGTTTCTAGGGCCTGGTGACTTATAATGAACCAACTAGCACATCACATGCTTCATTGACCCTCTACTTTTCTAAGCACTATGTTGCCTTCCTACGGAGCTCTGGTGGCTTACTGGTAAAGACTTGTGCTCGCAATACAGAGGTTTGCAGTTCAAATCTACCAGCTTCTCTGAGGGAGAAAGATAAGCAATCTCCTCCCATGTGATTTACTGCCCCTGAAAACCTGCTGGAGGGTCAGCTGTGGGTCGGTTCTGACTTGGCAGTACACAACAGCAGCAGCAAGCTAGCACCTAACGACACCAATCTTTATGGACAAAGAATGCCAGGTCTTCCTCCCGAGGAACTGAGAGGTTGGCCTCAAAGCACCAGTCTAGCAACTGAACACTTAACCACTGTGGCACTAGGACTCCTTTGGTAAATAACAGTTATTACTGTCACAAAGAGGTTAGCAATAATGGTATTTCACTTTCTTTCTTCCTTTTAAAAGGATCCTGAGATGCTTACTCTAACCCCGAGGAAACAGAGGCCTGGGAAGTTACATGTCTGGGTCTAAATGCACATCACCTGGCTCGGGCTCAGGACCTTTTTCTTTTCTCTGGTAAAGATTATGTTGCCTTTTAGCTCATCTCTCATGATGCCCTGTAAAGCGTTCTCTGTGCACCAGCTGATCAATATACAAAACCAACAACTGCTGGCAGATTTAACAGACGTTGGCCAGAAGCACGAGGCCTTTGTTTTACTTATTGATGCCTTTTTCTGTTTTTATGGAGTTCTGGTGGTGGAGTAAAAAGAGCCCTGGTGGCAGTGGAGGCATTATGTGGTGGGCTGTTAATGGAAAGGTTGGCAGTTCCACTCCACCCCCTGCTCCCTGGGAGCACCATCAACAGGCAGTCTCCTCCCATAAGATGGGAAATGTAAACGAGGGCTACTGAGTCAGAAACAAATAGATGGCAGTGGGTTAGGTGGTCTAGTGGGTTCAATGAGTTAAGACTGCTAAACTAGAGGTCAGTGGTTTGAGTCCACCAGCTGCTTCACAGGCAAAAATCTGCTCCCATTAAGACCTACAACCTCAGAAACCAGTAGGGCACTTCTGTGAGTCAGAATTGACTCCATGGCAGAAAGTCTTCTGGTATTCTTATTTCGGGGAGTCCTTTGGGTAGCATCAATTCAAACACCACCCTAATAGCCAAAAATATAATGGTTCAAATCAACCCATCAAATCCTCAAAAGACCTGGCAATCTGCTTCTGAATGGTCACAGCCATGAGCACCCTACAGCCTGAAGTTCTACCCTACAACACATGGGGTCACCATGAGTCAGGCTCAACTTGACAGATGCTGGTTGCTCCTGTTTAGTTCTTAATGGGAAACTCCACCTGCTGTGCTTTTACCGACATGAATACAGCCTATTTTGAAAGGATCCAATCCCTGTGTCCTCAAGACAAAAGCATCTCCACAAAATTGGGTGAGTAGCCCACACTCTGTTCAAGATGAAAGAGCCAGTGTTACATCAAGGCAGACTCCAATCTTGGCGATTTGTCATCACCACCAATTTCCTTTGAAGTCTCAGAAAAACAGCATCAGGAAAAAGGCAGATCAATGACTCACAGGTTCTCCTGGTTCATTTCCACCTAGAATCCTAAATCCAAATCCAGTCTCTTTTCTCCACAGGAAGATGTCCTGTTCTTGGTAATCTGGAACTGCAGAGAGGAGGGAAAGGAAGAGAGTGGTTATATTTGTGATAAAGGAGCCCGAGGCGCACACAATTACAAGACCAATACTGATGGTCAGTGAGCAGACAAGAGCTGTCTAACACAGGCTAGGACACACACTCATCTACAGGGCTGAGACAATGAATGACACCGGAGGGCAGTAGCCAGTGGGAACAGTCACTAAGTCCATTTTTTTCCCAAAGGACTAATCACTGTTTGATAATCCCTAATCAAACCAAAGCAACTACCTCCATCAAAGCTGAACGTCGGCTTTGACTACTTCTCTTAGCATTGCTGGAAGGCGAATTAGGTAAATGAAAATTGTTATGTGCTGAATCTCCAAGGTGTGGCCAAACCCCCAAAAAACAGCTCAGCTCCCCCCAAAACAAAGCAGTTTCTCAAGTAAAAGCTGGTTCTGGGGATTTCAGAAGTCCTGTTTTTTGTTTGTTGTTGTTAGTTATGTGC